CCGGTGTAAAACTTAACAACAGTAGCGACCTCTTGGGGTTGAGCGAGTTTAGTGAGATTTGGCTACTGGGGGCTTTATTAGCACAGAGCTTGGCACGGAGCAAATGTGTAGAAGTTAGTCCGTGTTGATATTAAAAGTGGCCGTTAGGTACACCGCTCAGTCCTGGATCCCAGGGACTGGGCCCACGGCCAGAACAGCTGCTAACTTTGCGTGCCTCCCTCCTCGGCACCAGAGAGGTGGAGAAGAGCGACTGCTTGAGAAGGAAGAGGAGGAAGATGATGAAGAAGATGAAGATGATGAAGACAATGTGTCTGAAGGCTCTGAGGTACCCGAGGGTGACCGTCCTGCAGGTGCCCAGCATCACCAGCTTAATGGTGAGAGGGGCCCTCAGAGTGCCAAGGAGAGGGTCAAGGAGTGGACACCTTGTGGACCTCACCAGGGCCAGGATGAAGGGCGGGGGCCAGCACCAGGCAGTGGCACCCGCCAGGTGTTCTCCATGGCAGCCATGAATAAGGAAGGGGGATCAGGTAAGGACCCCTCTGGGTGGGGGAGGGAGCCTGGTCCGGAGGAATCAAGCCCCAAGACAAAGTCACAGGCAAATGCTTTTTCATTCCCAGCCTCTGCTGCCACTGGGCCAGACTCCCCATCCCCCGTGCCTTTGCCCCCAGGAAAACCAGCCCTGCCTGGGGCCGATGGAACCCCCTTTGGCTGTCCGTAAGTTGGGATGTTTGAGACAAGAGGGTGGTGCCCAGGGGTGTGTAACAACCGGAGTAACATCACTGTTCACCGGTTCCCTCTTGTCCAATGCAGTTCTGGGCGCAAAGAGAAGCCAGCTGACCCTGTAGAATGGACAGTGATGGACGTGGTAGAATATTTCACAGAGGCTGGCTTCCCGGAGCAGGCAACAGCTTTCCAAGAACAGGTGAGTTTCCAACCCTCAGCTTCCCTCCTCTATCCCAGGGCAGTGGGGGTCTGCTCTGACCCTGCTCTCTGTCTCTCTCTGTCCCACCCAGGAAATAGATGGCAAGTCTCTCCTGCTCATGCAGCGGACAGATGTGCTAACCGGCCTGTCCATCCGCCTTGGCCCAGCCCTGAAAATCTACGAGCACCACATCAAGGTGCTCCAGCAAGGCCACTTTGAGGATGATGACCCTGATGGCCTCCTAGGCTGAATGTCCAGCCTCACCCCTGCCCCTACCCTTTCCAGGCCCATCTTACCCAAGTCCCCTGGAGTCCAGGGGTTGGACTAGGGACACTCGCAGCCCTCATAACAGATTCCAGTGCGGGGCACCCTTCCCTACTCATCTCTTCCCAGTGTCTCCCCAACACACACATCTGGCATCGAGCACATCCCAGACTTCCTGATGGAGGAGTGTGGGGTGGGACAGGGCCTGCTCATTTCACCCCAGGAGGCCCACCCCCACCCCCAACCTAGGACATTTTTGAAAAAAAAAAAGAAAAGAAATGGGGGTTTCCTATCTCCCATAGATCTTTAGTTCAGCCAGATGTTTCCTATATAAATGATTTGTTCTGCCTGTTCATTTTGATGGGTGGCCTTTCTTCCCTCCCCCACCAGCCAGGCCCCTCCTTGGTCTGCCCTCAGCCTCCATCCCCTGGGTGGGGTGAGATCAGTGGGTCTTCCCTACTCTTTCTGTTGGTTGTCGCTCCAGCTGGCTGTATTGCTTTTTAATATTGCACCGAAGATTTTTTAAATAAAGTTTTAAAAAAAAGAAAAGAAAAGAAAAAAAGGCCAGGAGTCCCATTTTATCAATGGAGTTGGGGAAGCGGGGTATTGAAGAACCGCACCAGCCTCCTGGGAGAGCCAGGATAGTACTGAATTGTTCTCAGAGGGAGACAGGTAGTGAATGGGGCTGCCTCACAGCCAGCTATAATAGTGATTGCTCCGGGAGGACAGGAATGTGCGTAGTTCTATCATCTCCCCATGCCCAGAACAGTACCTGTAACAGTAGGTGCTTAAATGTTTGTTGAGTGACTAGCAGTTACCTCGGCTTTAGTTTTGTGTGTGTTTTTTAAGGAATTTATTTTTTTAATGTGTTTTTATTGATTTAAGGGAGAGAGAGAAACAATGATGAGAATCACCTATTGGCTGCCTCTTGCATAATCCCTACTGAGGATCAGTTGTAACCCAGACATGTGCCCTGACTGGGAATCCAACCGTGAACTCCCGGTTCATGGGTTGAAGCTCAATCCCTGAGCCACACCAGCTAGGCAGCTTTTCTTGGTGGTTCTCTCTGCAGCCCCAAGAAGCAGAGCTTATAAAAATCACTTTACAGATAGGCAACTGACTCCCTATGGCAAAGATACTTGCTCAGGGTCACACAGGGTGGGATCCAACACCTGTGAGCACTTTACCCAGAGTTTAATTATAATTAAAGTATCTGGCTTCATATGTATACGTCGGACAGCCTTGCAAGCTACAAAAACTGTTGGAGCAGGGTCCATGGCAGGACCTCCAAGCTACAAGGTCCTCTCTCCATAAAAGGAACAAGGGATTGGGTTATCAAATGAGATAGTCCCTATTAAGTTCTAATGCAGTTTCTCTCAACTGCATTAGTTTTTTAATTTATTTTGTTAACCCTCACTGGTGGCTATTTTTTTCCATTGTTTTTTGAGAATGGAAAGGAGGGAGGTGGGGCAGAGAGAGATTGAGAAACATAGATGTGAGAGACGTTGATTGGTTGTCTCTCCCAGGTGCCCCAACCAGGGCTGGATGGAAACTGCTACACAGGTACATGCCTTTGACTTGGAACCTAGACCCTTTTGAGGGCTGAGGCTCTAACCACTAAGTGACCCGTCAGGACAACTCCCATTAGTTTTTTGTTTTGGTTTGGTTTTTTAAAAATATATTTTATTGATTTTTCACAGAGAGGAAGGGAGAGGGATAGAGAGTTAGAAACATGGATGAGAGAGAAACATCGATCAGCTGCCTCCTGCACACCCCCTACTGGGGATGTGCCCGCAACCCAGGTACATGCCCTTGACTGGAATCGAACTTGGGACCCTTGAGTCCGCAGGCCGAGGCTCTATCCACTGAGCCAAACCGGTTAGGGCTGGTTTTGTTTTTTTTTTAATATGCTTTTATTGATTTTAGAAAGAAGAGGGATAGTAGAAACATGGATGAGAGAAACGGGTCAGCTGCCTCATGCACACCCCTACCGGGGATCAAACTGGAAACCTGGGCATGCGCCCTGAATCAGTGACCTTTTGGTTCAGAGGTCCGTGCTCAACCACCCGCCGGGCACTCCCTTAGTTTTTAAAATACAGATTCCGTCCTGGAGTCGGAGGCTCTGGGGGTGGGAGCAGGTGCCTACCTTTATATTCCTGCGCCCCAGGGCTTGAACGCGCTGCAGAGACCCCCTCCCCCCTAGGAAACTGTCTCCAAGAGAAAGGCGGTGGCCCCCAGACCGCACCCCAAAGACATAACCTCCCCAGTGCCGGCCCAGGTCGCCCCCACCCCACCTCCGTTGGATTGCTGGAGCGCGCGCTCAAGCGGACCCCAGCGGCGCGCCCCTCCTACGTGTTGAAATTCAAACGAGGTGAACTCCGCGCGGTGCTCCGCCGCTGGCAGAGCGGTCGAGGCAGGAGTGAGGTGGACGGTGCTGCGCTCCCTCCCATCCAGGGCGAATCAGAGGTTCCCAGGCGGGGTCGAACCCGTGGCCAACCGGGGTGGTGTAGACTTAAAGGTCTCAGATCCCTTCCTCCAGCCCCACAATGGCTACGGAGCAGTGGTTCGTGGAGCCGATCCTCCCCGGCGGCACTGGGGAAAAGCTGCCCCAGGATGACATGGAACCTGGGGCTCAGCCCTGCGGAGACCCCTCGTGGTCGGCGCCCTCTAGCCGTCCTGGGGACCCAGCCCAAGTGGAACCGGAGGATGTCCAGGGGCAACTGCCCAAGGCCTCCCCTTCCACCCCTTCCCCAGAGCCTCTGGCCCCGGGCCCGGGCCCCACACCTCCTCGCCTACCCTTGGACACCCTGTTCAGCCCCATCACGGAACAACTCCGCTACCTGCTCAAGAAGGCGGATGATTTCCAAAGCTACTTGCTCTTCAGGTAGTGCTGGACAGAGTCCCAGGGTCCCCGTACATAAGGAAACAGGAGAGGGGTGACTGGATTCCGGCAGGTGGAACACAACAGAGTTGCAAACTTAAAAGCATTAGGAGCTAGAGGCAATGAATGAAGCTAGCTGATTAGGAATCTAATTTGGAAGAGTGATGAGGGCTGTGTACTATTTGGGGTTAGGGAGTACCTGCTATTATGTGGGCACCAGTTTGCCAAATCTCTAGGACTTTTTTTTGATTTTTTAACTGAAGGCTTAGGTTTTGGATCCTGGGCAGGCTAAACAAAACCCATCTGATCCAGATTTGGCCCGCTGGTTACCAGTTTGAGACCAAAAAGGAGAATGTGATTGCAGCCCAAAGAAAAAGAGACTGATTCTGGGAGGCTGTTTAAGCCCTAGGTTTCCGGGTCCCACCCTGCAAAAATAAGCCATGGGACTCGGGTGTCAGCATTTTACCAGGTGTTCCAAATAGTTGTGATGCAGGTTGTCCTGGAAGATGCTCTGACAAAGAAAGATCTGGGGGGTGGGGTGGGGTGGAGAGGGTGTACCCAAGGTCCAGACCAGGGATAAAAGTGGGAGGCTGAGTAGAATGGGAGAAATGAGGGGTGATAAGAGATCCTAAGCAAAGGTCTTCTTCTCCCTTCAGCAGGGACCGAGTTCAGAAGGAACAGTTGGCAAAGGCCATGCCCACCTTCTTAAAGATGTGTGAGCCCTACTTCCTGTACCTGGAGGCAGCTGCAAGGAGTGTGCCTCCCATCTATGGAGCCCTGCAGGAGCTGGTTCGAAAGGGGGTGTGTGGGGGCAGTTCCCTAAACCCCATGCCCCTTTCGTCATCCCTCGGGCCTCAGGGAGGGAGGTAGAGGGGCAGGTGCTCCTGGTAGGCCAGCTAATACTATGATGCCTCCTCTTCCATGCAGCTGTTGGAGATCTCCCAACAGCTGACCCTGCGACTGGAACAGCTGGTGCTCATGTATGCATCGTTTGGGTTTGTGGAACTGGAAGAGACAGACCCCCTAAGGTAATAGGGTGGGAGACTGGGATTGGTAGAGGGTAGAAGGGTCTGGGGCACAACCTCCTTCCCCACTCTCCCATCTCTTCCCAGCATCTCCTGTTTCTTCTGTGGGAGGTTCTCCATCAGTCCTTCCCACGAGGTGTCCATCTTCAGATACTGTGCCCCTGCTGCCTACACCACCAGCCGCTTCCCCCGGTACCTCTATAAGAAGATGCGCTGGAACCTGGAAACCACCCCAGACCCCAGCAGCCGGGGGCAAGATTCCCATGTGGATTAGTGAGTCCCCTTACCAGAATCAAAGTCCCTACCCCCTCTATGGAGAATGACAGTATGGGCCTCTGAACCACCACCACCACTACCACTGAGGTGTGGAAAGTCAAACAGGAAACCAAGGACCTTTGAAAGGCCATCCTTGCCTTTTAAAAAATTCATCCCCCAATCAAAATAAAAGTCCTCATCTTAAAAGAAGTCTGGCAGAGAGAAAAGGCCTCAGTATTGTGTCACATCCCTAGCTGAGAACTTGAAGGCAACTTCTGATGAGTTTCTACCTCACCTTCAAAATTAAAGCCCTTAACAGAAGAAGCTAGAAAACTGCTCACTCGTAATTGCTGCCTCTTCCCCTCCCAGCTACTTCCTGTGCTATCGAGATACATGGGAAGACACAGGCAAGAGTCCGGCCAATTCTTGTCCCCAGATTCAGAAGCTGTGGTCCATCGGCCGATGGGTGCCCCTAGGACCAGCCGAGGATGATCTTTATTCCTGGTAGGAGCTAGGGCCATGGCAAGGTGGGCGTGGGCTCTGGAGGGAGGGGCAGAACCATTCCAAAGACCATCTATTCCCCCCCCCCCCAACATTGTTCCCCTTGGTAACAACCATAACATTTTATTATGTTCTGAAAACTGCTTTATGTAAAACCCATTTAGGTCTATACTAAGTAACTAGCCCATTTTTACAAAGAAGGAAACAGGTGCCCAGAGAGCACACAGCAGCTAGATGATTGGTCAAGTGAGGGATACCGAGTTCAGCCTCCCAGAACTAGTGCCCTGGGCTTCTCATCGACAAGGAAACCACTTTCCCCCATCAGCTGAGACAAAGCCTCTTTCAATCCCAGCCCCTCACCCGAGGGGAGAGGCTCCCGAGAAGCAGAGGGCGCTCACGTCCAGCCCTGTCTGTCCTGGGCCCCCAGGATTTTGTGCCCGCAGCCGTCCGGAGATTACCAGCAGCTGCTGACCATCGGTTTCGAGGAGCCATCTCACATGCTAGCCACCGACCTGCTGGTGCAAATCCTCACAGGCCAGGCAGGCCCGGCCCGGTCCCCGAGCGCGGCCGGGCCCACAGCGTGGGACACACAGGGCTCTTGAACCTGGGAGAGGGTAGGAGCTGAGGCTTGACAGTTCCAAACTCCAGGAGAGGGGCAGGGCAGGGAGGGGCTCACTCTTTCTCCAAGGGCAGCTCGGCCTCACCTTCTAACGGGCCAGGCCGCGCTGGTCCATCCGCACTGGGTCTGCCCCGGCCGCGGGGCCCTGCGTGCGGATACACCATTTTTGTGTTAAATAAAAGAAAGAGGTCACAAACTCAGAGTCCACTCGAGCGCCGCTCCCGTCCTCTCGGGCGATGAAGCCCCGCCTACTCGCGCAGTCTTCTGGGAAATGTAGTTTTTTGTAATAAAACCGTGTTCCGTGGACCGGCGGACCAGAGCTCTGGGCATGTGCAAAGGCGTACGTGCAGCAAAAAGGGAAGTAGCGGTGCTTGTCAACAACCGGAACCCAGAAAACCGCAACTTTCGGGTAGCCGGGTAGCCGGGAGACTCAACGCCCGTTGGGGGCGGGGAGGGGGGGGGGGATGTATGTGTGAGAAGGGACCCCCAGGGTCACGCCCACTTGCCTGCTTTGACCCGGAAGTGATTTCTTTGTAGCGTAAAACACCTTATTTCCAGATGTGCCCCCGGATAAGAGCTCTTGATTAGTTTCCTAAGAGCCAAGATCAGATCTTCTAGCTTTTGGGTCCCAGACCGGGTAGGTCGCTGTACCCCGCGGTGCGTCCTGGGCGCAGGTGAGCTGGGAGAGCCGCCAACAACTACCACTTTGCATCTCCAAAGCCTCACCCAACCTTGGACTGGAGGGGAAACCCGGGCTCAGACCGTTGGACTCACCTGTTCAAAGCTTCGGCGAGCAAGTAGCGGAGCCTGGACCTGAGCTGGGTTCTTGTCATCGCAACTGGTCCCTGGCGAGGTGAGGGGTGCCGTTCCTGGCCATGTGTCACTCAGCTGCAAGTTACCCCCTTTAAACTAAGAAATGCCTTTTGGTCCCCTCCAACCCTGCATTTTCAGAGTCGGAGGAGAGACCTAGAGTCCTGCTTTGATGCTTTGAGCAAGCCACTCGCTTACTCAATAGTCCCTGGCACATTGTATTTATAAGCCCCACTTTACAGATGACACAAACGGATGAGGGGTTAAGTGAATCAGGATTGGAGGATGGGGCTCTTTTTTTTTTTTTGGTGACAATTTCTGATTGTATCAAGGATTTTTTAATCCACAGCCCAGGTCCGAATGAATTCAAAGGGGTTGTGAAGCTCTCAGCTGTAGAACTCTATAGACTAGCCTGGTTCAATAGAAATATAAAGTGTGAGTCATGTGTAATTTCAAATTTTCTAGTAGCCACATTTTTTAAAAGGCCAGACTAATTTTAGTGAAATTTTAATTAACTCAACATCTCCAAAATATTATTTCAACATATAATCAATGTAAGAAATTATTAATGAGCCCAGCCGGCTTGGCTCAGTGTTTCAGTTTCGACCTAGGAACCAGGAGGTCACTGTTTGATTCCTGGTCAGGGCACATACCTTGGTTGTGGGTCTCTCCCTCTTTCTCCCCCCCCCCACTTCCTCTCTGATATCAATAAAAATATTTTTAAAAATAAACTATTAATGAGACATCCTCCCCTTTTTTGGTACTAAGCCTTTGAAATCTGGTATTTTACACTTACAGTACATCTCAATTCTGATTAAGCCACATGCAGCTTTAGACTGTCTCCCATAAGGCAAGTACACAGGCCACTTCAGACTAAAGGTTTCCACTGGGTGGAGGCAGCACTGGGAGAGGAAGGAAACATTTCCTGGGTCCTGTTCCTGGAGAAATGTCTACACCCATGATTCTCCAACTTTAGCATCCCTGTGAATTACATGGAAGTTTTGATCAAGTTTGGGATAGGGCCCAAGCATGTGTGTTTTTTTAAAATAATTTTATTTTTATTGTTTTCAGAGAGAAAGGGAGAGGGAAAGATAGGTAGAAACATCAATAATGAGAATCATTCATCAGCTGCTTCCTGCACACTCCCCACTGGGGCTCAAGCCGGCAACCTGGGGCATGTGCCCTTAGACTGGAATCGAACCTGGGACCCTTCAGTCTACAGGCCAACACTCTATCCACTGAGCCAAACCGGTTAGGGCAAGCATGTGTGTTTTTAACAAGTTCCCAAGCAGTGCCAGCCTACTTTGAGAACGTGTGGCCTATATCTACATCATGGCTCTCAAACTTGGCTCCATGTTGGAAGCACCTGGGGAGCTTTACTGATGCCCAGGCCTCCCTCAGATTCTGATTTGCTTGGCATAAGGGTGCCTCTGGGGATTTTAACTTGCAGGAACGTTTAAGAAACAAGGTCCATTCCTAAGCCACCCTGTCAACTCTTTACATGCTTAGTTCTTAGCTGCCCTTCTGGGAATTAAGAACTGGCTCTGGGTGTTTCCATTTCCACCTTGGCAGTGCTGCCCTTCCTGCCTTTCTCTCTCGACCTCCCAGAGTCACTGTCAAGAGGTCAGTGTGCTGATGATGGGGTCAGGTGGTGGGCTGAGCTGCTGTTGGCATGCGATGCTGTATGAGCAAGCATTCTTCCATCCTTCGTTAACCATTTGTTGTCCCTATGCAGGTTCCAGTCTGTTGCTAGACTCAGAGTATACAGAGTTGGACAAATCCAGGAGTTTAAACAATGATTCTAAAAATGTTCCCTGAGTCTCAACCGTTTCTGAGTCTCACTGCACCCTAAGAAGCTGGGACACTACAACCACAGAATGTAACTGCAGAGACTTGGGGTGTTCACAGAACTTCAAGTCCATTCAAGGGGAACAGAGAGAATGAACCACAAGCCCTATTGCAGACAGGTGTTGCTTGCTGTCTACACACACACACACACACACACCCTATTTTAAAAGTTTTCTAAATAGTCATAATTATTTAAGGTTTAGTAGATTCTCTTTTAAAGTCCCAGTTTCCATTGCTTTTGGGAAGCAGAAGCTCTGGCACCACTTAACCCACTCACTGCTGTGTTGGAGGAACACTTACCAGCCCGTTGAACCTAGGCATTTGTTTTCAAGCACCCCTCATCTCTCCTTCACATTTGCCTGGGGCCACAGGCATGTGAGGTTTGCTATCACTGGCCTTGTGTGCCCTGCGAAGGAGATTGTACCCTCATTTTTTTTCTTTTTCTCCTTTTGTAGTTATTGTTTACACCCCAAGGGCAGGAACAACCTCTTATCACTTCTGTCTAGCCAGCGCCCAGCGCAGAGCATGCTGCTGGCACCAATAAATGTTGACGAAGTCTGGAAAAGGAGGGCGTGAGGTCATTGATCCGAATGCCGCAGTCTGCGCCCGCGCCGCCAGGGGGCAGAAGGACCCGGGCAGGGCCGTGGGGGACCAGCAGCCCAGGAACCGGGCGTTAAGGGCACATTCCGCCTTACCGTCGGCGCCTCCTGCTGCTTTCTGCTCCGCTCGCCACGCTCCGCCCCACGCAGACCTAGAGGATCCAGAATAAAATAGCCTGCACTGCCCAGCAAGAAGGGACTTTATTGGGAATGAGGAAGCCGAGACGATGACTCCAGTCAAGGCCGGAGGGAGAGGCTCGCTCGGTTTTCGGTTGGGTGGAGAAGGGCTGGACCGTTTCATTGGTCAGGTTGTTGTAGTGGTATTTGCCAATGGAAAATAACAGTTTTGTAGCAGAAACGAATCAGTTTCACAAAATGAAGTTCAAGGATGGGCTGGTAGGCTTCATCTTCCCTAGCGCAGACCGCGGGTCCCTCTTCGGGACGTCTGCTCATCCCGAGAGCACGCGTGGGCTCCTCTTGTCCGGGTCCTCTGACGGGCATGTTACTTTCGGCTGGGATCCCAGCCTGCTCTAACCTCAAGGCTTCCGCTCCTCCTGGGAAGAAGGGCCAGTCAGAAAGCCCAGGAGTGGGGTGGGGCGGTTTGGGCCCCAAGACCACCTCCTCCTCGGCCCGGAGCCGCTCCCTCCCCAGAGGGACTTCCCCGGGGGCGCGGGGATGCACTTTCCTCGGCCCGGCGTCCTGGTGCCGCGGGGGCGTGTGGTGGGGGAAAGACGGTGATAAAGGGGAACCCACCTGCTCCAGGCCGTTCTCGGAAGCCTTTCTGCGGGGAGGCCAGATCACCGCCAGCTTTCCATCGCCCCTGATCGCTGCGGGGAAAGGGGCACTCAGCCGGGGTCGCTCCTCCTCTCACCAGCTGGAGGCGCCGGGACAAAGGAGGCCGGCCGCACCCCTTAAACACACACAGGTGTTCACACACACACACACACACCCCACCGTCTCCTGGAAGCCTCTATTCTGAGGGAGGAGGGAGCAAACCCAGAGTGGGGAGGCAGGGACGCGAAAATTCAGGACGATCCGGGGGTGGCAGAACCCAGGCAGGGTTCCCTGGGACCCCCAAAAAAAACGGGAAGACATCTGGAATCGTCCCTTCCCCCACCACGATCCTAGGTGAGGTGTATCTGGGATGACCACTCCCATTAGGGAGTGAAGCACAGAGAGTGGGCAGCCCAGAAGGGGTGAATAGGGAACGGAAAGTTGAGAGGGGGCCCCAGGTATCTGGGAACCAAGGGAAAACCCCCCAGAGAGCCAGAAAAGGGGTCACTGGAGTTGGGCAGTCAGTGAGAGCGGCTGGAGCCCTGGGGAGCCCCGGCGTCCCGGCGCGAGTGGCTTACCCATTAGGCTCGGCGCGGGCTCCTTGACCTCGGCGGTGCCATAGACGCTATGCCTCTGGCGCTGCAGCTCCCGCTCGCGCTCCTGCGCCTCGCGCACCTCCTGCTCCAGCAGCGACGGCGCGATGGGCGGCGGTGCGCCGGCCAGCACCGGGCACCGGCTCTGCACGAACAAATGCGACAGGCTTACTGGCCCCCGCAGCCGCTGCGGGCCCGCGTCGTCCTCAGCTGCGGGCGAGGAGCCGCACCCACCCGCGGCCTCGAAGAAGCGTTTGAGCTCGCCCAGCGGCTGCGGAGGCGGCCGGGGGCGCGGTTCCGGGGGCGCGGGGCGCGCTAGCGCCGCCTGCCGGTGAGCCTCCCGCTCGATGTCTCGCTGCATCTGCGCGCCCGCCCGCGCGCGCTCCAAGGCACGCGGGAGCGCGGGGCCCGGGCCTGGCAGGCTGAGCACCGGCCGCAAGCGCAGCTCCACGAGTTCGCGGCCCGCGCGGCCTGGGCTCAGTCCCCGCCTCCGGCGCAGGCTTTCCTCGCGTTCGCAGCTGCGGCGGATTTCGCGCTCGATGGGCGTCTCCATGAGCGGCTATTCTGGGGGCTGTAGGGGGGGTCTCCGGGCGCAGTAGAAAACGCTGCTGGGGAGCTTCCGAGTCTAACCCGAAGGAAGAGGTCTCGGGACCCTGACTCGTACACGGCCCCGGGACCCGCGGCGCTTCGCTGGCTCCGAGTCGTCGCTGCCTGGCCCAGGTGTCTCACAGCTCCCAGGTGGGCATGGCCCGGGAGCTCCGCGCCCTGCCCCGCCGATGGCTGGAGGACTTCGCTAGCTGGCTCGGGGGTCTCCGCGTCCTGCTCTGCAGAGGGCACCGGGTCCTCGCCGCCTGGCCCGGGCACCGCGGTGACCTGTCCTGCCACAGGCCCAGGGACTTCGCTGTCTGACCCCGGGGGCTCTCGGCCCCGCTCTTCGGGCGACCCCAGGGCGCCACTCTCCGGCCTGGGAGCCTTGGTGTCGGGAATTGAGAGTTGAGAGCAGCCCAGAAGCCTGAGTTTCCAGCGCGAGAGTTTTGATACCCACGGCTGGGACACAGTGCCCTGCGCGGCACCTGTGGCCGGAGTCTCCGCCCGCGGGTTCCAGGGCGTCGCCCGCACCGGCCGTTTCTCTGACCCGCT